GAGTGGTCGACATTGTGTAAGCGTGGTGCTTATATGTTGTTTACCTGTGGATGCACCCTATATTCTAGGCCATGGGGTAGATCACGGATGTGACACCCCGTTGAGTCCTTTGTAGTCCACTCCCCGAATATAGGTCAAGTAGGATTTAGTTACGAAGGAAGTCATGCTTTGTTCTTGATCTTCCTTAGTAATATCCCTTATGTGTAGATATGGAGTTGATTTTAGCCATGACTACTAAGTGTAATTGCACTAATCATAGTATACCTTGACTTGTAATTAAGAATGACTTAGGAATTATTTCTCTAATATCTACTTAGTCATGCTAATGCCATAGAAAGGAGTACTCTGAGTGATCAATATCATTTATCATTTACCATTCATATATATTTATCTCTTAACTCACCCCTGTTGTGAGTAGAGTAATGGTTATGGTTTATTTCTCCATCATATGTATAAGTTATCAATATATTCCATCCGCTAGTCCTTCCCTTTGGTAAAAATATAAATAACGTTACCTGGAATACTCCTGGGTGAAATGCTACAATGGTAAATTATCTATGCGCTTGCAGATCCCTTCATATACATATTTGCATTCTTTCTAGTCACAATAAAATACTTAAGTACTTCTTAGTGTCATTCTAGAAGTGGCACTAGATAGTACCAACAAGCATTTCTGGCATCATAGCTAGGGATGACAACTTAGCAAAAGTGATGTTAAGAAATGTCAACAACATTAGGTGGCTACTTAAACAAGTGATAAGTTAATAAATACCAATAGTGCTAAAACCATAAATATTAATACCAGCAAGCCATGAAATATAGGAGTAATTCTGCATACTTCCCATGGCCTTATCAAGTTGTTGTCGGTGTTTGTTGTCGCGGCAAGCATCGCTGTTCGTCGGATGTTAGGAGTGTGTGTCTCCGGTGGCTCGGGCACTCAAGAACACAAGGGGAGACATGATGATGTATCCTAGTTTAGACTTTCATGGTTCTAAGTATAGCAGTGAGTAGTCTTTGTATTCGAGAGCACCCAAATTGGGGGGTTACAACGAAGGAAAAGAGAGTTTGGCAGGGGATCACTTGGTGCTATCCTATGGCTCATCGGTGGTGAGGTAACTTCCCTAGCGAGTAAGGGAAATGTTCCTCTCTCTTGCTGGGTTGCCAGAGGGGAGGAACACTCTGCTATTCCTCTCGGTTGCTCTTTTCTTGGTCGAGCTCGGCTGCTCAACCTCCTAGTGAATGAGGGAAGGTAGAAGATCCTCCTCTCATCCATGGGAGCTGACCTTCCCCTTATATCCTAGAGAAGGTCATGTACAAGGCGGTTTGGGGGCTATAGTCTATAGCCTTCTTTCACTAGGGTCTAGGAGGACACTACTGCAGCGTGGATGGACCTTAGTGTTGTCATGGAGTCGGAGGAGTTACGGGCACCGCCAGACATCGTTGCGACCCTGGTGCTTGATTGCGGGGGGTTGTCTGATGAGGACCAACCTCCCCCAGGTGAGCATTCTCAAGGCTTCCTTGGTGGTGAAGGCACCCCAACTCAGGGGGCTGACGAGCGGGCCTAGGAGCCCCGTGCTCTAGAGCCAGTGGACCACTTTGTCTTGTTGTGCCATGCCTTCTGTGTGACTCTATCGGAGGTGTGGGTGATAGTGCCCCATGCCCGTTGATCGGGCAGGTGCCCAGGAGCCCCAGAGCGTTGGATGCTTGGCAGGCTGGCTAGTGATCGAGAGGTGGCTGATGCTTGAGGCACTGGTTGTTGGCCCAGCCACTAGCTCGAGCTAGGGATCAAGCTGTGGCTAGGCTTGGTTTGCTCTTGGTCCAGAGCTTGGGGCCTTGCTGCCAAGCCCCTGAGCCCTAAGCGGAGGCGGTGGGCGCGCTTGGGCTCTACCCAATCTTTAATCAGAGGGAATGCACGAGCATACCCGATGGGTATAGCCCCTGAGCCCCTGAGCGATCCTAGTGGGATCGGTCGGGGTTCTGTCGGTCAGGAGCCTCTCTCCCGGGCACTTAACATACCCCTATGTTTGACTCTCGTCACCAGCGCACCGGTTAGTCTAGGAAATTCAACCAGAACATGGTGTTCTTAGAAGTGAATATTTGAATTTTTATCGATCTGTCCCTTGTTCTCGCGGATGGTCCACAGGAACATCGACCGCAGTGGCTAAGTGTTTGACACTGTGGTTGTTCTCACGAGGGTCCGGCGTGTAGGCGCATGGTCCGCGGGAACAAAGTCTATGCAGTTTAAGATCTCAAAATTGAAATCTTTATCTAGGGTTTGTGCATGTCTAACTTGTGTTTGTGGGGTGTTTCTAGGGTCCTCTAAACCATATCTAGCTAGTCCAATCTAGCTAAATTACAATATCAACTCAACATCAAGGGTATAGGGGATGTTTTCTAGGTGATGAACATCTAGTTCATGAAAATGATGATTGAGCTTGAATCCAACATACCAAAGGAAGCTAGGGAGTGTTGCTAGGCTTCTCAAAATAGTGGAGAAGCTGGATCCACCTCCCTTCCCTTGTTCTTCATCTTCTTGAAATCTCCTTCTCCTTGCTCCAAAGTGTTGGGGAGAGAGGGCTCCTCCCTCTTCAATCCCCAACTCTTGTGGTCAGCCCTTCACTTGATCTCCATAGTCTTCTCATTGGTGGTGATCTCCAATCTTCTCTTCTCCTTCCCCTCCCCTTGCTTCTCCTTGCTTGGGTGTGTAGAGAGAGTGGGAGGATGAACTAGAGAGAGTGAGTGAGAGTGAGCGGAGAGTGAAAGAATGAGTGAGAGGGTGCTGTTGTTTCAGCTCTCCACGAGATGGAGGCAGTTGGCCTAACCAATAGGGCCAAGAAGGCTCTAGTGGTGACAACTCAACTCTGTGCATGAGGTGTTCTGGCGGACGGTCTGGGTGATCATCAAACGGTCCGTGGGAACACGAACTAGGTGAAAAAAACTAAGTCTATGTTATTGTTCTCCCGAACAGTCCAGGGGTGTGCCGGACTGTCCATGGGAACAAACTGAGCCCAAAAATGTTTAATTTTATGCATAACTAGTTTTAAAAAAATGAGATTGCAATGCATATGATGCTCATGATGATGATGAAAATGGCCCTGTCACGATCTGGCCATGACACAATCTATCTCTAGAATTTTTTTTAGAAATTTTTAAAAGCGTTGTGGTTTAGAAAAACTTATCAAGTATTTACTGGATTTTTTAACTAAACAAGGTAAAACAACCTTAAAAAACCACTCTAAACTAGGATAGGGAGGTAATTTGAAGGTTTTGAAAGTCTGGGGTAAAATGTCTGGTTTTAGAGTTTGAGGAAAATCAGATTGTAGCGATAGTTTAGTAAGGTAGAATGGACTTTTCCCCCATTTATTTACCGTAACTACTATATTGTCTTGCTGCAGTAGTGATCTCTTTGTTCTCCCTTAGGCTTGATTTGACATATCACACTATTCTCATTGAATTCAAAAGTTTACAAAGAAAGGGACACATTTGAAGAGTGAAGTACTATTTGTTGAAATTAGTGGCATGTTTGGTAACTACGTGAGAAGAGATAGCATGGGAATTAGTGGTGAGAGTTAATAGACATCTGGTTTTTAGTTCCAATCCCTTGTTTATTTCGTGGAGGAAAATAAGAGAGGGAATCAAAGATAGAATTCATATCCCCTTTTGGTGTGAGGGTTTTTTAGTGGAAAATTATAGGACAAATCATGATGAACGGTGAGGTATTTATCTTTTATTAAAGCACAATTCCCACTCCTCTCTAGGGAAGTGATTAGTGGGAGTTTGCCCTATAAACTTCCATTCTTCTTCTCTTCAAAACTCCCACTCACATAACAAACAAAAGATATCTAAACTCCTATCTATAAACCCTCATTTCCTCCTTTCAATTGCTCCAACCAACTTCTGATAGCAATACCTTCTATGTTGACTTATTTCTATGGCAGTATCTTTCTATGTGAATCTTTAACTTTTGATGTAAATCTATTTCTATAGTAGTAACTTTTGATGTAAATCTATTTCCACATGTGATAAGACACATTTCAGGAGTTGCAAGCTTTAAATTCTTTGACTTTGGACTTCAGATGTATCAGTTTCATATTCTTTTCTTTTTATGTTTTCTTGAAGTATGTGCTAAATGTAACAAATTTACATTAACATTACATTTGAGGGGTCCTAAGAGTATATAATACTCAAACATATTAGTATAGTCTGCTAGCCTGCGATTATCTGTGTCCACGTCCACGGCTGTGTTTATTCAATACTTCAGAAGTGCTTATGTTGTCAAAAAGTAAGACACCAGCCAAAGGAATGGAACGTGAAATTGTTTTTCTAGAAACAACTGCTTTCTCATAGTACAATTTTCACAACACATAACTTATAGCTTTGTGCTATGTTTTACAGCTGTATCAAGTGAGATAAGGAAAGGGGTAGGTTTCATAGTTGTATCAACCGAACAGTTTATAGGTCACACCAAATAGACCTTGCCATGGGCCTCAATAGTCATCCAATTCATTCTCAACTCTTTGTACTATAGAGTGTAGACAAGGTATTTGAAACAATTAGAGGCCATGCGTTTGACCGTTAGAACAGCATATTGGGCAAACTATACAAGAACACGATTCACAACAAATACAACATACATTGACATTTTCCATCCAGAGCAAGATGGTGTGCTACCAATTCATGACTACATATCTCCATTTATCTAAACAACTGAATGAAATGAAACAAGGCTATATGCAATGGTGAAAATACAACAAATGGTACAGGATCTGATAGATGGTGCTACAACTTGCATCATGGCTGGCATGCCTTGGATGCATTCCCATCCGTGAAACTTCATCCCTGTTCTCTTCATTGACAGGCAAACCACCAAGCAACCTGGATGTGCAGCAGAGAAATAAATGCCCATGATGACCACAAGAGTTATAAACATTGCGATAAACCGTTGAAACACCGCAGGACAAACAAATCAGGCTCAGGTTGGTCCACAGGCAGCGGATTGATCAAGCCAAGTATCTGTACACATTTGGGTTATCTTTATCCCTTTCCAAATAATCCCTTGTGATAAGGTCCTCAATCCGCTTCTTTATTGCCTTGAAGTCAGGCTACAGAGAAAAGAATGGCAAGTCATTACAAGAAAATCGAATGAACAGGCAACTCAATTCATAAATACTCCATTAACCATATATAACAAACTGTATTGCACAAAACAGAAAGATGACGACGCTAGGCAGAGGTAGAAAGCCATACACGGAGCTACAAAATGGGTGCTAAGAGGATTTATGATATGTAATCAAAGACAACCCAGGTAATTGAATGCAATATCTCAACACTAACAAACTAAACTTGAGACAAGTCTTTGGGAGAAGAACAAAATTCACAGCCCCCAGAGCTGATTGAACTGAGCACTTGAAGAGAGGGCAAGGAAAGTTTTCACCACTAATATCTTAAACTACAGTGTTGAACAAATGTTCCATACCTTGAACATGCGACCAAGCTGTTCCACACATTCCATTACAAGCTGTTGATGGCCCAAAACTTTCCGGCTTTTCATAATGCGGACAATGGATGCATCAATTGCATATCTACGATCCTTGTCAACATCTTCAACTACTTTCTTCTTCTCATCAACTGGAGGAAGAGGTATCTAAAATTGGCATGAAACAACAACATATAAAAAAAACAACAAAATCAGGAAAGTAAATTGCCCAATTGAGAAATGTTAAGAAGAAGATACCTTTATTCTTCGCATCTTGTCAGTAAATTTTGAATTATACTCAAAGACGTCATTTGGTGCTATAGATCTGTTATTTGGTTCTTTGTTAAGAATCTTGTACTTTGCACAAGAAAGTGAATGGAGAAGCCGAACAACATCATCATCTGAGAGATTTAGCTGTGTCACAATCTCAGAATAGCTAAGCCGGTCAGCCCCATTAAATAGTAGCAGCAGTGCAGCCTACCAACATAGATAAAGACATCAGAGAATATCTAACACATCCCGCGAATCCTCACTGAAATGCAGTCAGAATACCTGATAAGTTGTAACAATGAGCTCAATAGTTTTGGCTTCAAACTTAGCACTGATATTACAGGTTCCAAGGGAATATATCCAGGTAAGCTTCCTGTGCTTTGTTCTTGTTTGGTAAAACTCTTTGAAAACCTCTACACATTTCACCTGAAAAAAAAAATTGAGAATGCAAATAATTATCCTGTGCAGAGTAGGTATCAGCAATAAATACTCGAGAAAGTAAGGCAAGCCATATGTAGCTTTAAATTATCGATCAAGTTTGGCAAGCAGTCAAGCACGATGACAGGCCTTCAGTAAACATGAAGGAAAAGAACTTACCATTTCAGAAGGCAGATTTATATCAAAAGATTTGTAGCTCGGCCAAAATCCTGTTGTCAGAACAGTGACAGCTAAGTCTATTCCAGGATTCAGCTCCAGATGGCTGCTTATGAACTCTTCAAATTTTGTTTGATGGTCTCTTGCAACAGTGAGATCAGTAACCATGCCCTCCATTTTTGAAGTGAATTGCCCTCCACACTGTTGTTTTAGTTTGGTCAGGATGCTTCTTTCATGCTCATCATTAGCACTCTTGTCAAAAAGCAATCTCCTCGCGAGCTTCTTCCTGCAAATTAGCACCATAAGTCAATGAATGAATATTCCAATAATCCCGGAACTTAAAGGCCATTAAGATTACTATGCAAAATAACTGGAAATTACCTGTAAAATTCAGCAAACAAATCCTTATCACTAATGTACGCAAGCAACCTTACCACCTGGTAAGTGCACAATTTCAGGATTAGGGTCCTAGATCTTAATAGTTGTAAAAGGGTGTTAGCAGTACAAACACAACAAATTGATGGCTATACCTTCTCAAGGGTATCTTCAATTGCTTCATCGCTAAGCTTTTCACTGCCACCTTTCTTTAATATATTATCACAAAAGGTGGCTAGCAATTCAGCACTTGAACTACCAGAAACACCTTTGTTGCAGAAAACCTCAAAAGCCTCTTTAAGGGCCTGTACAAACAAACCACAAAATAGGAGCCAACATTTCAATATCATGGTCAAAAGAATCGAGAGAATTAACAGTTTCAGATAAGTACAAGCTTACAAACCTTATGAAAGAGCGTGTGGCCCTGGAAACACTCTGTAACATATGCTACATACTTGTCATGAAGCTCAATAATTTTCCGAACAAAAATCTAAAATCAAGAAAAGCTTAGTAGGTAACAGACAAAAAAATTGAAGCCAACAGCAATATTATATCAAGACACGAACCTGTTCTTGTAAACCAACCATGTCCTTCTTCTCTGGCTGTAATACAATGGATAATCTTAGATAACACTCAAGACAGAGATTTTTTTTTCTAGAACATGCAGGAGAGCTGTGTATCATTTCATTAAAGAAGGTAAACATACAATGAAAAAACCCACACACAACACCAGAACTCAGCACACACACACACACCAAATAGACCGGGACAACACACCATAATCTGAAAAGGAACCGATGCACCAGGGATGGAGAAAGGACGACCAAGTGAAAACAAGCTAACCAGGGAGGGAGAACTAAATCAGCCCTACAACCAGAGGACCCAAGGCAGCAGCCAAGCAGCAAACTAAGGCAGTATCCGTGCACGAGACTCGTCGCCCTCCTCCTATGACTCCTCATTTACGACACCCTCAGGCCCACATCCATCAGATGACCACGTTGGCTGACGCAGAGCGCGATCAGCAATGGCGATTGGCCATGCTCGACATGAAGGCGATCGAGGAGAACAAGTTGTGGGTGCTCGTTCATCCTATTAGAAAATAGCCCCCACAACGACAAGTTGTCTACTAATCTCACACGCGCGGAAGCGTCGATTGAATCTACCGAGATGAACATGCAAGATAACAGACGACACAAGAGGCATGATATTTGTTAACAAGGTTCAGCCGAAGCCTACATCCCCGGGGCATGACTACAAGCGCTCCTCCCCAATACCAGCAACACTGGCCGCTCCAAGGTCCCGGCAGCAAGCCGCCCCCCTCCCACGGACCTGTCGCTATGTCATCATGGTTATAACAGTAGCCCTCCTCTCAATTTATGAGGAGGCCAGGTTACAGAGTCCTACTCCAATTCTACCCTATACTGCCAAATACAACTCAAGTCCTAGCGTAACCAAACTCGTACATAACATTCGACACATATCTAATAGATCCGCCGCTCGGGTGCTGGCCAATTGGGCTCAAGTGGGTCTTCAAGGTGAAGCGCGACGACTGCGCCTCCATTGCCAAGCACAAGGTGCAGCTTGTCACTAGGGGCTTTGTCTAGCGGGAAGGCATTGACATCGAGGAAGTCTTCATGCCGGTGGCGCGGATGGAATCCATCCGGCTCCTGCTGGCGATGGTGGTGGCGGCAGCGAAGGTTTGGCGGGTCCATCACATGGATGTCAAGTCTGCCTTCCTCAACAGTGAGCTCTCAAAGGTGGTCTTCATCACGCAGGCACCAGGGTTCGTCATCGAGGGGTAGGAGCACAAGGTGATGCAGCTGCGCAAAGCTCTCTACAGGTTGTGGTAGGCTCCGCGGGCCAGGAACAGCAAGCTCGACACTAACGCTCGGCGAGCTCGGCTTCACCAACTGTGCCCCCGAGCATGTGCTCTACACACGACAACGGGAGAAGGAGCATCTCATCGTTGACGTGAACAGAGCATGGGAAGAAGACATCGATGGCTTCAAGCGCAAGATGGCGGCTCGATTCCGCATGAGCAATCTCAGCTTGCTCACCTACTACCTCGGGATTGAGGTGAAGCAGGGGGGGGGGGACTCCATCACCCTGTGCCAACGGGAATATACAGGGAAGCTAATGGAGCAGAGTGGCATGGCGGATTGCAAGCTGTGCGCAACGCTGATGGAGGAGAGGTTGAAGCCGTCAAAGGCAAGCACCGTGGTGAAGGTGGACACGACGTGCTACTGGAGCATCATCATCGGGCTGCGCTACCTGACTCACACGCGGTCGGACATCTCGTTCGCCGTCGGGTATGTGAGCGGGTTCATGGTGGATCATCAATAGGATCTGGGCTGCTTCACCTGATGCGCTACAACAAGGGGACGACTGATCAAGGCATAATATTCCCCAAGACCGGTGGAGCAAGGCTAGAGCTGAAGGGCTTCAGCAACGCAGATATGGCGGGCAAAGTTGATGGGCAGAACCACGGAAGAGCACCTCCGGCGTGCTCGTCATCCTTGGCTTGACCGCGGTCGCTTGGCAATTGCAAGAGAAGGTGGCGGCGCTGTCGATGTGCAAACTAGAGTACATCGCAACGGCCATAGCGGTGTGCCAAGGAGTGTGGCTGCGCCGACTGCTGGGCGAGCTCGTCGAGAAAGAAGCTCGCCACCAATGTTGATGGTGCACAATCAGCCCGCCGTCACCCTCGCCAAGAACCCTGTCCTCCCCGACCGGAGCAAGCACATCGACATCAAGTATCACTTTCTTCGTGATAAAGTTGATGGACGACAAATCATCCTCAAGTTCGTCTAGACCGGCCAACAGCTCGTGGACATCCACACCAAACCACTCGGGTGCCTTTGGTTCTTGGAGTTGAGGAGCAAGATTGGAATGGTGGATCTCAAGCTCAACGAGTAGCAGCAGGATTTGGGGAAGAATTGTAAGATAATCTGCTGCTTGTTCCTGTTGTGTTGCTGTAGCAGAGTTAGACAATAGGTCAACTCTGCTGTCCCTTTCTACTATAGCAGTATGGCAATAGTGCCAAGTAGTGTCTGATCTCAGCCCAATAGTAGATAGCTGTAGCAAGTAGTGGCTATAGTAGTAGTGGTACTAGTGTACCTTGTAGTTGGTAGCTAGAGGTGTACATACCCAATTTGCTTGGCAACGAAAGTCTACTTCAGTTGCTGCACTTGCTGTGCATGTCTACGCTCTGTTCTCAACTCCCTCTCTTATACCACCAGCCCAAATCTGTGTGTGTGTGTGTGTGTCTTTGAGTGAGGTGCTGCTCACCCGTGCAGTCCAACCGGATTCCATCACTCAACAATGTTGAAAGGTATTAAGGAAATCACCACGCCCATTGGGGGGTGCCTTTCATATATATATAACCACGCATAGGGCTAGTACAACTTGTGGTACAAACAGTCATAGCAGTAGGATCACAGACACACAAACTGGTCCGAAAGTCAAAAAAAATGTACAGGTAGACCGTTGGTCATGATATCTACAAACTGGTACACCAAAGGGACATGAAGCACACGGACCTGCCCTAGTGCTGCTCGACAGCATACACGGGCCACGTTAGTCAGGTGGCACTCGGACATGCCAGCCCGTTGGAGGAGGTCGACAGTGTACTCTGTCGTGCGTCATGGATATGCCAAGGAAGTGGTGTGGGTTGATCATGGCGAACTCCGAGTAGAGGTGCGCGGTGATATGATGGAGCAATGACGGAGAGAACGCCATGAGGATGATGTCATCAACGTAGAGCAGCACGTAGGCAACACGGTCTCCATCTTTGTAAACAAAGAGAGACGTGCTGGACTTGGAAGCAATAAAGCTGATGTTGTAGATCTAGGTGGCAAAGCACTAATTCCAAGCCTGCGGAGCTTGCTTGAGACCGTACAACGATTTCTGCAGAAGACAGAGCGGCGGGGTCGACGATGCCCAACGACGGTTAGCAGAACACCATCTCCTCCAGGTGGCCATGAAGGCATGTGTTCTTCATATCCTGCTAGTGAATCGGCCAAGAGCAAGGCGGCGATGCTGAGTCCTAATCGTCGCCGATTTGATAACTGGATTGAAGGTCCCGTTGTAGTCCACGTCAACCTGCTCGAAGAACCCCTGCACCACCCAATGGGCCTTGTGCCGTGCTAGCTGTCAGAGTAGAACTTGTGTTTGTACAGCCACTTGCCCATCAACGTTAGCACTGGGAGGATGAGGGACCAACTGCTAGGTGCCATTGTCTGTGAGGGCTTTGTACTTCTCAGCCATCCAACACGCCAGTTAGGGACTTAGGTCCGGCAAGCGCCCTGCGGTAGTTTACTGGGATCAGCGACGACGACGTGGCGGAGAGGTTGAAGCGATCGACGGGGTGCAAGCTACCCGTCTGAGATTGGGACGTCCACGAGAGGAGCCAATTGTGGATGCAGGAGTCGGTGATGGCCCACTGCAGATCGGCAGGGTTTGCCGGAGCAGTGTCGTCAAGTGCAAGTGAAGGCTGAACTTGCCACATAGGGAAGAGAAAGAAGGGCGGCCATTTGAAGTTGGGGTGCTTCAACTAGAGGGTCACCCAAACATGGAACTTGAAGGCGATTGTCGCGTAGGGAGCGACGAAGATCGACGACGCCATGTTCAATCAAGGTGGCTGGGAACCCGAACTGAGGGAGTTGAGCATGCCACTGGAGCTGGAGGAACTAGAGGAGTCCATCAACATGGTGGGAAGGGGAGGTGGCAGCGGCGTGACAGGAGCCGGTGCCACCGGCTTGGGTTTTGGAGGGCAGGAGGATGCGGCACGACCGTGGGAGGGGCGGGGCCAAGGTTTGCAAGCAGGAGGCTGGGGTTTGCGCTGTGGGAGGAGGCGGTATATATATAGTACTTTTCTGTACCAGGTATTTCCATATGTAGCTAGGAAGGTGTCTTTGCCCCCGAAGTCTCCTATACATACCTCCCGAGAAGCTCAATGCAATCTATCCCACGCATTATACCCAATCCTTCCTGCTTTCAAGAACAGCTCGGCAAGTGGACAGTGGAGAGACCATCGCTCAGATTGGGGGAGGAGGTGGCCACCAAGGCCAGAGTAGCAACCTGTAGGAGGGTAGTGGTGGAGCACTCAGAGGGGAAGGGAGGTGTAGAGACGGAGCCATCTCAATCCGCCTCAATCTATCACTATAACTAGGCAAATATTTTCACTTGTAGCATACAAAATGTCCACAATGCAGATCGAAAAAAAATGGTAGTATATAAATGCATGTGTATCTAACTCTTAAAAAAGAAGTAACAAAAGGAACATATGAAATAAAGCTTAAGCATAAAATATATTGGAATCTCACTCTACGTCTCTACCTACACATGACAAAAAGAAAAAAAATGCAGCACGATAGTTTACATATGATATGCAGTATAGACTTTCCAGCACGAGTCAGATACAAACTCTTAAGGTTTGTGTCAAGGGCAGCAAACCCCTCGATCATGGACTGCTGACACGGAGCTCGTGAGCCGTCTCACTTTCTTCTCCGGTGAGGTTATACCCCTCTACCGTAGGCTTACAGAGAATAGAGAGAGATTAGGGATAACTTTATTGCTTGCTTGATCATGACCTCTAGTACAG